CCCCCCACATGGGACTGTGACCATGAATATAGGGGCCGGGTTTACAACTGCATTTCAAACCCATCATGGGGGGTGATAGATTTTGGGGGGGGGTGTTTATAGGGGGGGTGGAGGACGTGTGAGCAGGGGTTGTGTGGTGAGTCACATTAACAATATGTTCATCTGGATGGGGACAGCCAGTAGAATAACAGGGGGTGGGGAGGAGGAGGGTGCAGTGTTGGTGGGGGGAGGGGGAGGGGTAAAAGGGAGACAATGTCAAGGAGATCCATGTAGAAAAAGCGATGGTTGGAGACGGACTGTGGTAGCCAGCACGCCATTCTACTCGACGCGATTGAAATATGGAATGTTATGTTGTATGTATTAAAGCTCAAAAAAAAAAAAGAAAGAAAGAATATATTCACCTGGGTAGCGCTCAGAAAAGTTGGAGAAACTGCAGAGATGGGGACAGAGGGATAGGGGTCATTTCAGACCTCACCACCACCCTCCTGGGCTTGCAACACCCTCTCTGCCCCAACCTCCTTATTCTCGCTTGCAAAATAAGATCAGAAGGGCTGTCCTTGCCTTCACAACTCATGCTCAGTGTGGCCGAGCTGCTCGCCTCCACCATGGAGCCAGGTCTGAGCGGGAAAGAGAGAAAATGTCTTTTTTTCACCACTTATATAGTCATGGGACATGCAAGCCCCCATAATTACAGGTACCCACAGACGTAACAATGTGGGGAGGACCTTAACCCTAGAGGTCCCTGAGCTCATTGGAGGTGTAACCTCAGGGGGAGTAACTGTCCCCTGAGCAACAAATGTACAATGGTGCTTGACACAATGGATGGATGGATGGATTGTGATAAGAGCTGTATGAACCCCCAATAAAATGATTTTAAAAATAAAAGAGTGACAGTCTCAGAAGCTCACAGGGCCAACTCCACTGTGTCCTAGAAGGCTGCTGTATGTTGGAAATGACTCAATAGTAGTGAGAGACTGAGTTGAGCCTTCTGTATTCTGAGTCGGCACCTAACAACAGCGACACCTGCCTCGAGGTGGCCCCCCTGGGTAGTGCTGATGCTTTACACTCAACTCTGAACCTAAGCTGGAGCCTGCAGCGTTACGAGTTCGAACCCAGTATCCTCCAGTATCCTCTCGGTGGGAAAAAGATGCAGCGGTCTGACCCTGTCAACAGGTACAGGCTCAGAAACCCTATGGGGCAGGTCTCTCTGCCCTACAGGTTCACTATGGGTTGGATTCAACTCAATGGCCCTGGACTTGGTTGGATTAACCTCAGAGCCCCATTAGCTCAATGGTGAAAGCGCTGGGCGGCTAACAGAAAAGTTGTCGGTTCGAACCCACAAGCTGCTCCTTGGGAGAAAGCTGTGGCAGGCTGCTTCTGTAAAGATGGACAGCCTTGGGGTTCGATTCTGCCCTGCATGGTCACTATGACTCAGTTTGGACTCTCTTCCTGCAGATCAAAGGAGGCCGGGTGCTGCAAAGGTTAAGTGCTCAGCTGGTAAGCAGTCAGGGGGTCAAACCCACCTAGCAATCTGTCTCCATCCTGACGGCAGCTGCTAGCATACCCCACAGGCGGTCCTACCCTTGTGGAAAACTGAGGACCGGGATGTGGACAAATTCTCTCTTACTCCCCCTTAGGGTACTCCTCCAGTGAGCTCGGGGCCTCTGGGGTTAAGGTACTCACTCCCCACATTCTTACATATGTGGGTACCTGTAATTATGGGGGCTTGCATGTCCCATGACTATATAAGTGGTGAAAAAAGACATTCTCTCGCTCTCTCTTCCCCGCTCAGACCTGGCTTCCTGGAGGAGGTGAGAACCTACATCTTTTGTCTGTCTCTTAATTTCTTTCCTCCAATCACACAACTCCTTGTAGCTTTCCAAGACTGTAACTCTTTGTGGGAGTAGAAAGCTTCATCGTTCTCCCAGGGATGGCTGATGGGTTCGAACTGCTGACCTAGCGGTTGGCAGGGAAACTTGTCACCCATGATGCCACCAGCGCCCCACCCTTTTCCAGGAAGGTAGTGTTAGTTTATCTGTTTTACAGATTGGCAAACAGAGCGAGAGAGTCATTTATCTGAGGCCATGCAGCTGTCCCTGGGTGGAGCTCGCTATGAGTACAAAGGTTTTCCACGATCTTGAACAGAATCTGTAAAAACAAAAGCATGATGGTCCTCCAAACCCCTCCCAGATGTCCCAGATCAAGGGGCCACAATCTGGGATCTGGGCAGAGGCGGG